TCTCTTGCTTCCATGCCCTTGGTTAGGCCTCTCCAAACTCACTTGTCTCAGACCCCAGTCGGCTAACAGCCACTGAACATAAAGCGAGGCCCAGGAGAGGACACCATGGGGGCCACAGGGCTGGGAGTGGGCAGCTTTTGGGGCAAGATGCCAGGGGTTAAATCTGTTGCCCTCATGTGGCATGACTCTTTCGAGTACTCTACACCAGGGTTTCTCAAACACATACCAACAGCCTCAGCTCAGTTAACCAAGGAAGGGTTGGGTCTACTTGGCCAGAGTGATAAAGAGGAAACTCATGGAGTGGTTCTGGTCAATGAAGACAGAGACAACCAAGAGAAGACAGGGTTGGGATGGAGCTTGGTACTGAGGTCGGTCACCCTCCCAGCAGGAGGGTCTCTCTGTAGGGATGTCCCATTGGAGGTTTAGGGTTTTGTTAAGGAACGGGATTTCCTTTCCAGTGGCCAAGGGAACCAGAATGATTTCTCTGCTGGGAAGGCCCCAGGCAGCATGCAAGCAAGGATTACAGGTAAGGATGGGCCCAGACAGCCAGCTTCCCTCAGCCCCAGAAGCCACACCCTTGCAAAAGGCTTCCTTCCTGCTCAGGCTTCTTCAGCCTCCTGCACGTCCATTCGGTCGGCCTTGAAGACTTAAGTGGATGGCCTGCTCTTGACCCAAATGTGCCACTGGCTGTCCTTCTCAGGAGGCCGCCCCTGGTTTCTGTTCAGTAGATCATGGACATTTCTTGTTATGTTAGGGGCTTGGATTCCATTTTGCCATTTTTTTAATCTCAGGAACATGCAAACATAGACTCCTTCCACAGAGAAGAGACAAATGGCTAATGCTTCTGATCCTGCAGTGCTGGTCTAGATTTGGGGGGAAAGAAAGAGAGAGAGAGGGAGAGGCCTTCACGCCAGCCCCTTCAGCATCATACACTGGCCCCTTTTGAGCTCTGGCTTTGTGTCCTTGTGTCTGAGCTGAGGGAGTCAGCCTTGGAGTCCTGAGTGGTCTGCAGACAAGGGGCCCCCGAATGATTTTGGTCCACGGTGGACTGATTTTCCACTTAGCACTAAGCCTGTGTGTGAGACATTAGCTGGGAGCTAAGTGTTCCAGAACTATTCCTGCCAGATGAGTGATTCCATCCATACGGCCCGTACTCACAGTGCAGACAAGTGATTCCAGCCTGGCTCACCGAGGCTCAGAAAGATTTAGCTCTCTAGGTCCAAGAGGTAGACCCTCCCTGCACATGGCTTTGTTCTGAGTGCATGCGGATCTGCCTGGACCCTGGAGGCTAAGGAGATGGGTGGCAGAAGAACCTGGAGCAGGAGCTGAGGGAAGGAGGATGCTGGGGTCCGGAAAGGCTTTTGTAGCCAAAGGAGGCAGGGGCTGCCCACAGCCGAATGCTCAAAACCACGAAGCCCTCTCATCTTGTAAGCTGTGAAGTGCCCACAAATGTAAAAATATTAGTATTATTTGTCTTCAAGGTTAGGTATCCCAGTTCAAGGCAGGGGTGGGTGGGCAAGATTATTTAAAAAAATCCCCAAATCCAGCAAAGTCTCCGAATTTCCGGTGCAGTTTCTGTGCCTGTGAAGCTGGGCTTTTTGGACAGCCGGCCCCAAACAGCTGTTCTGAGGTGACAGGACACGATTCCCCAGGTCACTTTTCACTTCAGAGGCCTGTGCTCTCATCTGCAACTCTGCACACCTGGCCCACCTGGCCGGGGCACCCAGGAGGGTGCAGGCCATTGGGTGAGTTCTGGACAAGCCCACCTCCCGCAGGCTGAGGGCGACCTCACCCCTCTGTCCAGCTGCGTAGCTGGCATGTTGCTCACACAGGGGCAGAGAGTCTTCCCACCTTATAGATTTTCCCCGGGCTTTCTAACAGATTGTGTGTGGCTGTCTGGAATCCCTGACTGTGAGAGGCACAGGGAATTAGAAATCATGCAGTCTAGAAGAACAGCTGGAATGTGGGTGACGGGTACATACAGGCTCATTCTATGATTCTGTTGTTGTTGCGTGCCGTCAAAGCAATTCCAACTCATAGGGACCCCGTATGACAGAGTAGAACTGCCCCCAAAGGGTTTCCTAGGCTGTAAATCTTTATAGAAGCAGATCGCAAAGTCTCTTCTCCCGCAGAGCGGCTGGTGGATTCAAACCGCCAACCTTTTGGTTAGCAGCCAAATGCTTAACCATTGTCCCACCAGGGCTTCTAGATGTTACACATGTGAAAATTTTCATAATGAGAAGTTGAAAAGTAGCTGCATGATTAAGTATTCATACAGGCATCTGTTATTTTGAGATTTGCAGACCACGTCCAGCTGCTAACCTCATTCAACTCTCATGATGGCATTTTATAGATGAAACTAAGGTTGAGCTGCAAAGTGGGAGTGACAGAAGCTTGCTGTGGCGGGGTGTCGGTGGGGATTCCTGCAGCAGCAGGGTGCTGGGGAGGCAGCCGTGGCGATGACCTTCCTTAACTGGAATCTCGGAGCTGAAGCCAAACAGTTCTAAGTCATGACACCACAATAGACATTCAGGCTGAGCCTCCGGCAAGTGTCCCAGCTTAGCTGGAGGACAAATCCCGGAGGTGAAGCAGTGACTGAGAACAGAGAACTCAGAATAGATCCCAATCACCCCAATGTACAAATCTACGTACTAACAGGTGTTGGTAATTTTTACTTCAACACAGGATTACATAAGAGACAATCCTTGGCTGAAGAGGGGGAATAATGTACTCCCCAGAGGAATATTCTCATCACTTTAGGGGGCATCTAGTTCAGGTTGATGGTCAAGGAGGAAACAATGTTCTCACATTTTTCATGCCTTACTGCTGTCCAGACCTTCCAGTACCGTGTTGAGTAAGAGTGGTGACAGCGAATATCCTCGCCTCATTTATGGCATTTGAAGAAAAGCATCCACTCTCCCACCGCACAGTATGACGTCAACTGTAGATTTTTGTAATTATCTAGTTTATGGCTTTTTAACACGAATGTTAGATTTTGTCAAAGGCCTTTTCTGTGTGATTATTTTTCATTAGCCTGTTGATATGGTGAACTACATGAACGGATTTTCAAACGCTGAAGTCTTGAAACACTTGGCGATAAATCTCAGTTGCTCATGGTGTGTGGTTTTTTATACACTGCTGATTTGATCTAATATTTTACTGAGGATTTTTGTCTTTGATTTTAGTATCAGGGTAATACTGCCTCAGTGATATATATTTTCTAGAACAGATTGTGTAATATTAAGTCTTTAAACATTTAGTAAAATTCTCCAATGAACGATTCATTGGATCCGAGATATTTGGCAGTTTTTAAGAATTCATTTAATTATAGTACTCAGATTGTCTAATCTTGGTTGAGTTTGTTTTCTAGGAATTGGTCCATTCTAAATTATTGAATAAGCATAAAGTTGCCTGTAATATTCCCTTATAATCTTTCAATTGGCTACAGGATCTGTTATTCCATAATTCCTGATCGTCCACTTTCAACCCACCTATGTCTCACCCCAAACTGTGGTTTGTAAAACCAGGCTTCTCAAGAGGCTAAAAGGGGAGAATTCTGCAGATCAGGCTAATAGCAGACACTCCACCCTTCACTCCCCCGGCTTCATGTTTACTTTCGTGTCATCTTGGAATCTCTCAAACGAAACAGCAGCAAAATCACTCCCATACCTTACATTTTGATCCACTAACAAATGGGTTCCACTGCCAACTACAAATATTTAATTCTTCATTAATGTGGAACTAGTAGGCTTAAAGAGGATTAACACGTGAATAAATGACATAACCACAGCTAATTCTAACAGTGATGAGACTAGACAACCCCTACCAAACAAGTACAACTTACTGTGAGGTGAGGAAGCTTGCGCTTCAGGCTCAGGGTCTCTAGGTGGTGCAAACCGTTAAACGCTTGAAGTAGGGAAGGTTGGCAGTTCAAACCCAGCCAGAGGCACCTCAGAAAACAGGTTTGGCCATCTGCTTCCTGAAGGTCAGCCTTGAAAAATCCTAGAGCATTTCTACTCTGCACACACGGTTTGCCAGAAGTCGAAATCTACTCCAGTGTAGTTTTTAACTGCTTCAGGCTGCTTGCTCCCTTGCACAGGCCTCTAAGGAGTGGGGCCTAGCAAAATGTTCCCTTGGCCACATATTTTGGTAAAATTTGCGATTACTAAAGACTTCCCTCTACCACGCATCCCCCCATGCAAGTGAATGGCTCCATCTCCTTCAAAATAGCAGGGGAAAGGGAAAAAAAAAAAAAAAGGATCATGAATTTTAGGGTACTCAAAAAACATGGTCAGTTCTGGCTTCTCTTGTGAATGAGGAAGGATTAAACATCTTGACTTCCAGTAGAACCCCTCTCCTCTGAAGGCGGGTGAGTCTGCATGTTTACAGACATCAGCAAAAGGTGAAACGCTGCTGCTCGGGCCTTGCTTCACGGAACTGACAGTTTCTTTCACAGGTAAACTCAAGTCACTATGTGCCTGAAGTGTTGACCCAATTCGACAAGTTGGCAAAGTGTGTGTTATAAATTTACCTAAAATTCAGTGAAAAATTTTATCCAAAAAGCAAACAAAAATTACACTATTTGCCAAAGATGATTCACTGAATTTTTATTCAAAAGGCACCAACTTCAAAATTTTTTTAGAGCACAGCATTTCAAACACGTTTAAAAAGTCAGTTCCTCAGCTGCACTAACCCATTTTAAGAGCTCAGCAGCCACATGTGGCTACATTGGGTGGCAAGACATCACTGAAGACAGTTTATGTGGACAGTGCTAAAGGGTTTAAGATTAGTCACTATGGGAAATCTGGAAAAACGTCCGACTCCTACAGCTTATATATAAAAGAACCTTAAGGTGCTCCCAAATTTTACAAAAACGCTTAAATGGCATTAGTTGAAACTTCAAACTATAAAAAATTTTTCAACACGATCGAAGAACTTAGCTTTGTCTTTAGAAATGATTACAAGATTGTTGTAAGAACAGGTGATCAGAGTCTGCAGCCACAACGGAGGAGGGCAGAAAAGGTGGCAGGCAGTTAAAAGAGCATTCTGCCTTTTGTGGAGGATGGTGGATTCGGCTTTTGCATTTTTTAATTTCCCTCTTTTAAAATTCTAAGTAAATATGCACTTCCAGACCTAATTCTGTATTCCTTAAGCAGCACCCTTGCCCCTCCAAAAAGAACTGTACAAGCTTCAGTTCCTATAAAAATCTGTATTTACCCTGGATAGAACTTACCTTAAAAAGGAAGCCACTGATGGTCTCTTCTGTGATTTTTCTACTGAAGTTGGAACAGTTCCATATCCTACCCACCAATCTGATGTAATCTCTAGGCATTTTAACCCTGTTACTGAGGTGCGATTATTTTTTTAAAAACACACATTTACAACACTGTGTAAGTTTTATTTATTCCAAAATCACGTTATATAACAATTCGAATTAAAATGAACAGTACAATAGTACAAGAAATAAAATTTGCAACAGTGCAGTATGGCCTCACCTAAACAAATGCCAAATATGGTTATTACCTCTTGAGCCCTGAGTGGAATTTAGAAAATAAAAGGCCAGATGGATAATTTATATCGTATGAATGTGATTAACATACTGCCTATCTCCAAATATATCTATCATCAACTTATTTGTTCAAACCTGTTCTTCTAATTATGTAGGGGGGGGACAAAAACATCAAATTCTTAATTGGTAAAATCATTGTACAACAAAAAGCACCATTTCCACTATGCTTGAAAGCAATATATGGAGAGAGTGTATACAGATTTCAAACCTATTCACACTTTTCCAGAGTAAGCCAGTCACCGATCAAACTGTTAACAGTGTAAAACTTAGCTAAACAATTAACGTTACCATACTGTTTTAAACAACAAAGATCCCAAAGCAACGTTTTCAAATGATCCCTAAATAGCAAAAGGCTAGAGAGATTCCTGTTGCAAACTCCTTTCCCTTCTTAAAGGGCCTCATTTGCTAAACCAGCCCCTTGACTCACAGGAACTCTATTACTCTGTTATTCTTCAGGTCCGATCTTTCTACCCGGGGGGTCATCATTGAGCCAAAGGGGCTTCCCAGGGCTCTCTCAGCTCCCGAATGAAGGCAGGTGGTTCCACAGCTGAGCTTCTGAACACAGGAGCGATTTACAGGCCCAGGTCTGCACCTCTGCAGAGAAAAACCTATTCCAACCTTTTCTAGATTCTTGTCAGGACACTTCCAGTAAAATTAAACTACAATGTCCTGACTGAATGGGAGATTACATTATTCTCTGAGAAATCCTTAGAAATGACTTCCCTGATACAGAAGAGCCGGGCAGAAGACTGCTCTACTTCAGCTAGATTTGCAGCAAACTGGGGTTTGGGTTTAAGTTGGTAAAAGGAAGCTTCTTTCTAGCATGACTGTGGCACAGCATGACCCTGGTTGGGCTTCCTGATAAACAGCGAATCCAGGCGCACAGAGGGCACCCGTCTACTCCCCTCCCTGAACTCTGCAGAGGTGTGAACAGAGCATGGAGTGATCTCAGTTCGTTTCCTCTGGTATAAAAAACAAAGAAGACTTGCACTGCTGCGGTCTTATCGTTACTGTTGTACAGGCTTTTACATCAGAACACTCAGAATGAGAAGACTCAGAGGTAGATAAAACAGGAAGAGAAATGTTTCTGGTTCCAAGTACTGAGGGAGTTCAACACGTAAAGAGGGAGGAAGAGAAACAAATGCTTCCAACCGTTAGGAGAAAAGCCATTACACAGGGAACCGCTTCCTCCGAGTCTAGAAACTTCACTTCGGGAAGGCTCCTGGGGGAGTTAGGATACACTGGGGTTCACTAGCCACCCCAAACGGAAACAGCTGTTGTCACTATGTGAACATAGATGTAAGGGAGAGAAAGATTTCCTGAAGGAGAATGGAGAATGGTGGATGCCTACCATATCAGCTTCCATAAACCACTTCTAACAAAGGCCTTCTGGCACATTAGAGGCAGTTCTGTTTTCTTTTAAATGATCGGGTCAAGATTAGCAGGTCTAAAAAAGTTAAACACTGCTTTTAATATATAAATTCGTGCAATCTTTTAGAAATCACTGGGCTAAACTCCCTTCAAACCACGTTGAAGATGAGAGATTCCAAGTAAGTGAGGCACTTGAAAATTCTCATCAGAAAACGTTTTCAAATTTTCTCTTTATAGCTAAGTTAATAAAAGTACAGCATTTTCTAACTCCCACGGTAAAACTGAGCTTTTGCTCGAGAAAACACCTACAATTTAAAAAAATAATAATGAGAACAGCTAATGTAACTCTTGATGGAATGATAAACCACCAGCATTTGGTATTGTGAAATAAATTCTTTTAAAACTCAAAAGCCATACACTTTGAATAAAGCAAAATCTCCAGCTGTCATTTGCGTTATATTCTAGTCTTTATCTTCCTTCTGGTTAAGAACATCCACCTCACAGACCACAGGAACCATCTGGTTAGGCCAGTCACAATGGTTCAGTACCTCGAGCTGAAACAGCTATTCTAATCAATATTATCACTATGCATCAGACGCCAGAGGTTAGGCTTATCTTTAATACATAACGCCAGGTATGATAATACAGAAACTTCTGTTTAAAAAAAGATAAAATTTTTAGGTTGATGTTGGAGAAAAAACTTGCTGAATATAATTTACAGCTCATACTAGCCCCTTTCTCGTATATTCTTTTGGTATGTTTTCTTGGGACAGACAGAGTTCCATTCTACAGCGGCTTCTTAACATCTGCATATGTCAGTAGAAGAACAATGAACTCCAACTTACTGATGGGGTCTATTTTCTAATGCAAATATTGGCAGAAAAAACCAACATTTCCTAAATGCTTGGTACCCATTAGGAACCCTAATACATGGCTAAATGCTTAGTACCCACTGAATCAATGAAACAATACTTTTGAGGTGTTCTATGGACTGGTCTGATCTTATGTTTGACACCCTCAATGCGATACAGTGTTAACTCACTTCTGTTCACACTTTACAGCGTGTAACCATTTACCCTCAAATCAAGTATACTATGCTGTGATCTTCCTACATCCAAGGTACATCATCTTTCTGTACACCGACATTTATTTGATGACAACGTGCAATTTACCTCTGGGACTTCTCTGGGATACTAAGCACAGTTCTATTCAGTAGCCATTACTTCCTAGGTAAAAACTAAAGTACAGCGCCCTCACTGGACAATGGTCTGACTTCTCAGTTTTGCAAACAATTTCACAGTGACGTACAAAGAACATTTTTTGTTAGCCTGTGCTCTGAGAAATCTGCTTCCAGGTAAAAAACATGGTTTTCCTTTTACTGTCTAGCCATAACATGCTACTCCCATCTGGAATAACAAGATACTTCACTGTGAAAGAAACTCGTTCTTGCAAAACCCAAACCACGTGTAAACCGTCTGTGATGTTCCAGTGCTTTCAAGTGACCTGCACGCCAGGCGCACTGAGATATTCTTAAGCTGTTTTCCAACCAAGGGCTTCGCAGTTCAGGCTAAACTTGTAGAGGGTCAGATTCCACCAGGCACAGTCTTTTAACTTTTGAGTTGGAGTTAACGTTTAGTAAATGTTCCGTTTTGTAACCCTATTATAAAACATTTGTACAAAGTAAGACGGGATAGCTACTAACCTGTGCTCAAAAATACAAGGGCTTCCAGCAGCCCTAAAAGAGAAAGAAAATCAATTATTTCTCTGGCTGGTACTAGCCAGCTCTTCACAACTACGTGTAACAAGTAGTAGGACGCGCTGAATGGCAAGCAGACGCTCCTTCAGTGAGGTGGTGCCCAGTATAGCCAGCTGAGCCTTTCGTTCCAGTGGCAGCAATGCCAGGATCCACCAGGACCAAGCTGGGCCATTCAGATTACTCTGCAAAACAAGGAAAATGAAGACACAAAACTATGGCTTAAAATACAAGCCTCTTCCCCAACCTAGCTTTTTGTTTAACCAAGAGACATGTGAGCAAGAATTAAATGCTACCACCTTTTGAAGGGTGAGACAGTACACAATACAGGAGAAACTAGCACAATTTGTACAAGGAAAGGTCATGGAAGC